GAATGGGCCGGCCAACTGGGCCAGTAGGCCGTGGGAGGGGGTTCCCTCTTTCTTCTTTTTTTTGTTTTGTTAGTTTCTTTCTTTTATTTATTTTCCTTTTCTGTCTTTATTTATTTTAAAATACTTAGGAAGTTTATAAAATTGTGTTTATTACACCATATTGACCTATGTAAAATATGGCATCTCCCGAACACTTTTGTTTTAAATTTTGAAAAACTTTTATTGTTTGCTTTGATTTTGAAATTTGAATTCGAATGGGATTGAATCATCGCGAGGTTTACAACAGTAAGAGTGGTGACGAGGCATCATTAGCAGAGGTTACTGTAGCTTGATTATCCGGGCGTCACACTCATGCACCAGTGCATTGACACCCAGGTCGCAAAAGAGCCACGCCATGGTATGGCACATGCAGCAGGAGCTCAAAGTGAAGATCACCACCGCTCGCTCGGACGCCAGCTTCATCACGCAGTCCATCTGCCTTCTAAGTAAGTTCTAATGGGTTATGTGTGTACGTGCACGGATCTCTGAACGTGCTTTGCTTTGAGGTTTGAAGAGGACTTTGAAATGTGATTGAGCCTTGTGTAGCTCTAGCTAGTTATTGCTACCTTGTGTTGTGCCAAAGAGGAAACCTGGATGGTTTACTAGCACAGGGGTGGCTTCCTTTTATAGAGCTGCAAAAGGGCGGTGCTTCTTTGATCTTTCTATGCACTAGCTAGGGTGTCCTTCATGCATGGGTTGGGTTGGAATATCCGGTGCAAGTAAGATCAGGAAGTGTTTGGAACAGATCAGTGTGATCTAGCAGCCATCTTTAACATTGCACAAAGAGCATTTTGGATTTTTCTAGAAAAAATAAATGAAAGCTCCTAGCTAGCATGCCTGGGATTGGCGCCATTGGTTTGTTCAAAAGCATATTGGTTGATATCCAAGAGGAGATGAGATTAGATAATGCACGAGTGGAGCCGTGTTCTGATCAACATGGACCCAAACACGCGACTGGAATAATCCGATTGATTTTCTAAGTGTTGACCTAGCTAGAGGGAATCTCGTATATATGCCTACGGACTGATCCTACTTTTAAATCGATCTATCTATTGGCTGTTTGTCAAGCCAACTAATCTTCAGGAGAACTAATTAAGACTTGGAAGGAGTGGTCAATCCTAATTGACTCATGCAAGTATGGTAATGGGTGATAGAATGCACAGGCCACAGATTAAGATCCACCAGTGCCCATATCCACCAGTGCATCGAGTAGAAATTTGGAAAATAAAGTGGTCGGAATATGAGTCTCATCATCGATAGTGTACTCATGCATACTATCTCAAAGCGGCCAAGCCAATGGGATGAAATTTCAGTACGAAAACAGATGAACAACTTGATTTTTGCTGGTTTTTACTTAACTAGGTCACTCTGTTCTACATATTTGCCCTTTTTCTCAGTGACTCATTTCTACTTAATTGAAAGGCAGTGCTCCTGTCAGTTTCATGGAAGTATAGATGAACAGAAGCTTGCAATGGTGAAAACGTGTCAACCTGCGACAACAAGAACCGTATCGACAATGACGCGGAATGTCGATATGGTACGGCCAATACTTTGCTTGTAAGGAAACCGATTCCGACTAGCTACCTCAGGCTCGCCTGGTTTCTGGTTAACCGGCAATGAGTCGCCACAGGTTCAGAGAATAGCATCGTTGACAGAGCTCTCAGGGCTCCTTTGATTCAAAGGAATTGCATAGGATTTTTGGAGGATTTAAACCCTTAGGAATTTTTTCTGTGATGCTCATTTGATTCATAGGATTGGCATCCTTAGAAATTTTTCCATATGATCCATTTGTACTACATTTTGGAAGAAAATTTCCATCCACTCAAAGCTCTTTGTAGAATTCCTTTATTTTTTCTAATGCTATCAAACATTCTTTCAAATCCTGTAGGATATTATGGGACATGTCACCCTATTCCTACATTTTTCCTATTCCTTCATTTTAAAAATCCTGTGAATCAAAGAGGCCCTCAATCTCTCATCACTCACACTGCCTTATCTGCAAGCACAGAATATGTCCAACTTGCCTGCTTTTTCTCTCAAGATTTAGCTGCTTGGGCTTTGAGAAACGCCCATCATCGACATCGGCCTGGCCGTATCAGATATGAGGCGCCGCGACACCGACGGCGGTGTCATCCTTGCTTTTTCTTTGACATCCTCACCGAATCGATCCTACTAAAAAGCTCTGCCGAAGCAAAGGAAAGCACGGAGAGAGGGAGAGAGAGATGTTGCATGTGACACCACACAGTTGCTACATGTATGGTGGTACAAGCATCTACACAAAGTCAGATATATATTACCAGGGTGTTTTTTCCAAAAAAAAACTGCAGTTTTAACACATGACGCAAACATCCCAGCACTTAAGAATAGAATATATGTCTTGATATAGATATCCTTTATCCTCTAGATTTGCCTTGATACTCTTCACCTGGAAAGAAAAGGCTAGTGTTATGTAGTAGCAACCTCCATAGCTAGCTCCTCAAGGATCTTATGGTTCTTCATCAATTCTTGGCTCCCCACCCTCTCAAGGGCTAGCCTTGGCTCCTGCAAGAAGAATGTGTAGTGCAGCTCTTCAGATGAATCTAGCATGCACCTCACATTGCCCAAAACATAGAAACTCTGAAGTTTACATGTGCGGCACGCTGACAGAAAGACTGCATTTTATGTACACCTGAATATGTGAGAGATGTACTAGCAAATACTTTTGAAATGCAACTGGAGAGGTGTGGAAGCGCCTAGTAGTACATTTTAACAGTACTGTGTGTACTTGATTCTGATTCTTTGGCACATTGACATGTGGATCACAAAGGTCTAACCTAGCAACTGTACATCGCTGATGCACATATGCCAGCCTTGAGGTGCCGACACCTATGAGGATCTTATTCCTTGGCTCTTTATTGTTTGATAAGCCTAGCTAAGCTTGCTGATTACCTGGCTGAAACCCTAACAACAACCAATATCATCAGATCCTAACATATCACAATCTTTGTTGAAATAGTAATTTAGTACTGTCCAGCGATGAACTTTGATCTTTTGGTTGTCCGGTGACTGCTAGTATGTGAATTATGCCCGAATTGTTGCTAAGTGTGTTAATTTACGTAATTGTCAGTTTACGTTGGATGGGTCGCATGGATATGAGGAAAACGACTGCAGAGGCAGCCAAATGAGGGGTGATCAGTCACGGTCCGCAGTCGCGCCCGACGTTTGAGAGGCCAGATTTACAAGGTGCTGATGTAGATGCTCTAACAACCCGAGCCTTGAGAGCCTTCCTAAAATCAAGTTCCTGATGAGACGGCATGCGCTCCTCCTACGCAAGATCCAAACAATGGATGATTTCTGTGGCCACCGCAAACTGTAACCACAGGTTACCAATCGTCTCATTGCTCCATCTCCTGGTCGCCTTTACAGTTCTAGTGAGTTTAATGTGAAGATTTCAGAGAGCATAAGATCCCCTGACCGACCGACCCCACGCATTGGCCACGACCTGCTCGAGGCCCGGAAGCTGAAGCTAAAAATATTTGAAGTGAGAAAATTCCTGTTGGTTCTGTAATTCTGCTCCCCGACAAGCAGCATTGGTTAATGGCCAGAGATCATTGTTGAAATAGCGTGCATGGTGCATGCCTGGAAGAGGCCATCCCATGCAGGGGAACGAAAAACCCTGTCCAGCTTACGAAGAGTAACATCTTATCTTTCGCTGACCATGTAAAGTGTCTCCCATTTAACTTGATTTCTTTTGGATCAAGGCGATCCATCATTCCCCTGAAGGAGCCCATGCCTCTGTTGTTAATTTTTCGAGAAAACGCAAAAGACTTTTGTGTTTCATTGTATTGAAAAGAAGGAGTTTGGTACAATCCTCCTAGGAGGCGAGTTTACAAGATGAGTACAGGCACACTAGTGGACATCCCAGGTTCTGTGGCAGGATGGCGCGGAGTCCTAAAGCTCCAGCTCTGGCCCATAGGGCAGCCTCTTCCTTAATCCTAGCGATCAGGGAGGTAGCCGACGGGGATGCGCCCTCAAAAACGCATCCATTGCGATGCTTCCAAATCATACAAGGGATAAACAAGGCAGCGGAAGCCAATCCCTTGTGCATAGGTTTAGGGGTGTCTTGTCTTGCAGAGCGCCACCAGTCGTGGAGAGTGGCATCATCGTTGGGCAGCGGGCAGGAGAGGCGCAGCCATGAGAGGATCTCGTGCCATACCTGGCGGCTGAAAGGGCATTCCAGGAGAAGATGATGAACCGTCACCGGAGCCTGATCGCATAGTGGGCAGCGCTGTGGGTGCGGCAGGTTGCGTCGCGCTAGGCGGTCTGCCGTCCAGCAACGGTCAAGGTTGGCAAGCCAATGGAAGAAGCGCACACACTGCGGTGCCCAGCACTTCCAGGTAAGTCTCCAAGCCTGGCATCGGGTGGAGCCGTGGAAGGTGGCAAGGTATGCGGACTTGGCGGAGTACTCGCCGTTCGCGGTCCACTTCCAGCGAATGCAGTCCGGCGCGTCGCTGAGGGCTGTTTCGACGATCATGTGCCAAGGGCGTAGGTATTTGCCAATCTCCGGGATGCCAATCATGCCGTGGATGTCGGTGGCCCATTGGTTCGCATGGAGGCCGTCCGCGACAGTTCTGGACTTGCGACATCGCTTGGGGATGTGAGCGTAAAGGAGAGGCGCAATCTCACAGATCGCACGCCCGTTGATCCATGTAGAAGTGCATGCTCTAGCCAATGCAACCAAAAGACCGATCTGATGGAAGAGACTAGACAGCACATTATACGTCAACACTCCCCCTCACGTGTGGCTCTCTCGGGCCTAAACGTGGACCGAAAATGGGCTGCAATTTAATTGCGCCAACCGGGTCTTGAACTCAAGACCTCTTGGCTCTGATACCATGTAGAAGTGCATGCTCTAGCCAATGCAACCAAAAGACCGGTCTGATGGAAGAGACTAGACAGCACATTATACGTCAACAATCCATCTGTCCTCCCAGAACAGGGTGTGCTGGCCATTGCCGATTGTCATGGTAGTGGAGGCGAAGAAGAGTGCGCCCTCCTCAAGCGTGAATTGCAAGTCAAGGCCACTCCAGGCCCTGCTATCAGACTCGGCTGAGCCATTGCCACCGCATGCGCAAGGCGACGCCGATGCGCTCAAGGTCATGGACGCCGAGGCCGCCGAACTGGATAGGCCGACAGACGCGCCGCCAGTTGACGTGGCAATTGCCTCTGTTGTTAATGTTCAGATTATTCTTATCCTTCAGACCATAGGGTCGTCGGGGGAGTGTGACGAGAGCCTGCTCGCTTTCCTTGGAAACGGAGTTCAGGAAAAGCGTCCAAACTCGTTACCGTAGGCAGACATGATGCAGCCTAGCATTGGATCCACCGAGGAACGCCTGTCCTGGGATGGGCTACGATGGGAGCAGTCCAAGTTAAAAGGACGGGTCCTTGGTGATCATCCTGTCAGTCTGCTGCGACTGAACCTGCTCGCTGTTAGCAGCACTAGGCATAATGGCCCGAGTCTGCTGCGAAGCAATGGGGTAGTCATCTTGATCGTCATCGAACTGCAACCTGTTGAAGATGGTCGGCTTAGGCGGTGCACCGTCCTTCACGACAAGCTCCCATATGAAAGTGCATGTGACAGGGCTAATGCTTCCGGCCGACGCATCCGAGGGGACCCCACTCTGTCCACTGTAAGGATTATCTGCCAGGAATAGCGGCTCCGAATCATCCAGAGGCACGAGATTGCAGCAGGGTAAGATCTCAGAATCCTCGGGGAAACACGAGTCGCCGATGTCAAAACCAAAGATCAGGCTCGAGGAAGATGCCAGACGACCAGGCTGCTGGAGTGAGTTTGTTAGGATCCATGGCCCAGATCCAAGCGTTGAGGCAAGCCAACTCCTTGTCCACCTCCGGACGAAGTAGCACCTCATCCACAAAACGGAGCAAGTTGATCTCCAGGTTGATGCACATGTGGTGGGCGAATTCTTCCTCACCTGCACCTCTACAGAGCTCAGGAATGAGATCCTCAAGGCTGATGGCTGTCTTGTGGGGGGCTTGAACTTGCAGTCGTCCTTGGTCTACGTACAGGGTTAGGATCTGTATCGAGGGCCTACCTCGTCAGGCCATATCTCTTGAGACCTTGGCTGACCTATGCAAGCCTGGATCTCAAGCTATCAATACAGATTTTAGTGTCATCCCTAACAAATGTAGTTAAAAAGGGCGCGCCTAGGCTCTAGGCGATAGCAAAACGCCTGGCGCTTAATTGCACATTAGCGTAAGCTTTGGGCAGAAAAGCAAGGCAGTGGGAAAACGCATAATTAGCGCCTAGTGCTTTTTAAAACTCTGCCTAAGATTAGACTACCCACAGTGCTCTCCGACCCTCAAGCTCCCACTAAACATGGCTACAATCTCCAATCCAGAAGCCCTAACAGAAACATAGTGTGGGCCAAGCACCAGTATCCTGACTAGAGATTCCAATGAAATCCAAATATGCATTGCCAAGATGTATAAACTGATGCAACAGAAATCAACTAATACAAACTTATCACTGCACTGGACTGATTTGTTTTAATTAGTGTGGCATTAGTCTTAGAACATATCATAACTCACTTGTTTGAGCTTTCTAGTGCAGTCTCCAAGAGATGCTCAATCCTGTATTTCATCACAGGCTGCCCGGATCGTGTCCTCTTGAACATCTTCTCCCTAAGCTCCTTTCTCTTTGCTTCAGACTTCTCTCGCTCCTCCTTCTTGGCCTGTATCATCGCATCCCGCTCCTTCTTTGCCTTCTCGTCCTCTACACGTTTCTTCTCGTACTCCACATTCAAGCTTTGTGAAGTGCGCTTCTTCCTCTTATCATGTGGTTTTGGCACATCCGATGCATCAGCACCTCCTTCCTGTAAATGTAAATTGCATCAAGACACAAAAACTACCTGTACACTTGTAGAACAAACAAGATAAGTGGCCTTGTCCTCTAAAATTATTCACGTTTTCATTGTCAAAAATAAAGGAATATATAAGCCCATCACAACTTCCGCTATCCACTTTGGTCAAATTATCACTTTAAACATAAAACAGCCTTGGTGGTTGGTACCGAGGAGAATTACCTCAAGGGTTGGAAATTGTGGAGGATAGTTTGACTGATTTTGGTGCTTCTTCGACTTCTTGTACTTGCTAATCAATTTAGCATTCCTGTAGAACTCCTTCTGCTTCTCTGCAAATGAGAGTAATGATTAATACCAAATCAGTTCTGCTGATAACTAGGAACACGACTGCAATAACCAGATGAAAAGCAGCACATATCATATAGGCATATGATTTGAAATGGACACACACACAAAAGAAAAAATCTTTGACAAACAGGTCAAATTTACATGGCAAGTACCAGAAACAGATATTGTATTAAGCAGCAAGTACTAGAGTGAATTCAAACATGTTTAAGCACGCTATATGATTTCAGCTATCAGGTAACAGAAACTCATTTTGAGTAATACGTTAGGTGCCAAATTGAACATGAACGGCTGTGATAGTAAATTTCCAGTGAGAAAACTGTCCACGAAAACAAAAACTTAGATGAGGAAATACTATTCTAGTAAGGTTAATACATCTTCAAGTCTGAACGACTTTCTTTCTCCAATTTCATCAATGTTTCTGAATCATGTAGATGAACCCCGGTTGACCGTCTCCCCCAGCGCACTCAAATTACGATGAGCTTTCATCAAAATTCATGATCAAACTAGGCTAAGTGAGCACATAGCAAACCAAGGAGACAAAATGAGAAGATTGTGTTCCTATGCTCGAAGTCCTAAAACAATAGATTTACTCGTAATTCCAACAGGGTAACACAGACATAGTAACTACGAAATTACTAGTCGGCATTCAAAATTAATCAAAACCCTCGAGCATTTGGGGACAAGCAAGACAAAATCTTATCCAGCAATCCGGTAGAGGAAACAACTTGGCGAGAAATTATAGCAAAACATTACACGCAACAGACAGACAGACAGGTCGCGTGCGGTTTCCGCACCAGCGTCAGGGCACGAAGGCAGCAGTTACTCACTGATGAGTGCCGGGTTGTAGCCGGTGGTCCTGGACTTGGCGTTGGCGAAGGCCGCGAGGGAGAGCGCCCCGCCGCTGCCTCCCAGCCGCTGCTCGTTCCGCTTCTTCCCGCCCCACCTCCCCTTCCCCTTGTTGAACCCTCCTCCTCCGCTGCTGCCCGCCGCCGCCGCGTCATCGCGTGGTGGCGACCGTTTCATGGTGGGTGATAGTGGTGGTGGTGGTGGGCTGGTGGCTCGTGTGCTCGTTCAAACCCTAGGAGCCCAACTGCCCAGGGGAAGAAGAAGAAGAAGAATTATCCCATGGTCTTTGGGCCGGTTACCGTAGCCTATCCGGCCCGGTATGCCTACTTTCATTTATGTATCCCTCAAAACTGGTTACTCAACAAAAAAATGTATCCTTCAAAACTGGTTACTCAAAAAAAAAAATGTATCCCTCAAAACTGGTTACTCAAAAAAAAGTCCTGGTGTACTCCATGTCGTGTTTTAAGCTTCCCCGTGGTTTACGCGAGCATATCAACTCTCTCATTCGCAAGTTTTGGTGGGGATCAAAGGAAGAGAAGAGGAAGCCAAGTTAAATGTCCCGAAGTGTTATAGCGAGACCAAAGCATTGCGTTGGCCTCGGTTTTCGTGACATAGAGTTGTTTAATTTGGCACTTCTGACGTGTCAGGCGTGGAGGATACTTATGGAACTATCGTCTCTTAGTGCAAGGTTTCTAAAGGCAAAGTACTTCACGAATTGTAATTTTTTTAAAGCGGAGTTGGGGAGCTCACCATCCCAGCTATGGAGATCCATCCTTGAAGGGAGAGATACAATGACTCAAGGATTGATTAGTCGCATTGGAAACGGCCAAAAAAAACTCTGGTATGGCAACAAAACGGGCTCCCACGAGATTTTGACATGCGCCCGATTGGTTGCCTTGCTGCAAATCCCCCTCATATAGTTTATGAGCTCATCACAACTAATACGGAGTGGGATACTGATCGGTTGGCTCAGAAGTTTCTACCCATGAATATTAAGATTATTCACGTTATTTCATTGTGCACGAGGAATATTGATGATTTTTGGTCCTGGACTTATAAGAGGAACAGACTTTTCTCTGTCAGGTCGGCCTATCAGATGCTAGTTGATATGAAATAGACGCGAGCCGTGGCTAGAGGGGCATGTGGATACATCTAATTCCGAGGTTAAGACAAAGGCATGGTCAAAGATGTGGAAAATAGATGTGCCTGCTAAGATTTAAAAAATTCTATGGAGGTTGGCCCAACAATCTTACCGACGGCAAACTTCTTGCATCATCGCAACATGTCTACTCAAATTGCTTGTGGACTGTGCGAATCAGATGAATCTTGGCGTTATTCGTTGCTCGAATGTAATACGGCTAGGTGCATTTGGGCTCTCGAAGATCAGGATCTATAGGAAGTTGTTTTTGCAAATCACGAGCCGGATGCAAACCGATGGCTTTTTTCATTGATGGATATACTCCAGTCCAAGAATTTCACTAGAATTTTGGTCGTTTTATGGGCAACATGGCACACCCGGCGCAAGGCATTACATGAGCAGGTTTTCCAATCCCCACATGCAACAAATCAATTCGTGAGCAACTATATACATGAACTAGAGATGTGTAGTTCGACGAGTCCTTCTGTTCTTAAGACCAAGGCCCCTCATACCCACGATGTTGGTCTCCTCCTGCTCAAGGCTATGCAAAAGATTGAAGTGAATGGTGCCACATCTAGAAATTCCAAAGACGGGAAGTGTTCTTTGCAGGGACTGTACGGTTAAGTGCTTGGGGACTTTTGCAGTTGTGTGTTCTGAGGTGTCCGACCCGGCCAAACTCGAAGCCTTGGCGATCTGGGAAGCATTAGCTCTCGCACATGATTTGTCATCATCACATGTGACAATATCCTCTCATCGTCAGGGAGTGATCAATGACATACTTAGAGATACAGGAGGGAGATATGCTATAATCATCAAGGAGATTCAAGCTACGTCACGCCAGTTCACCAAGTGTTCCTTCATATTTGAAGGATGTGAGACCAACATAGAGGCACATAGCCTTGCTAGACATGCTTTAGGACTTTCAGTAGGACGCCATTTTTGGCTCCTAACCCACCAAATATAAATTATATCCTCATGATCCTTAATTTTGATCAATAAAGAGAAGTGTGTTTAGACAAAAAATGTATCCCTTCAAACTTCGGATTTTTGCATGAAGATTGGCAAGCTCCTTCCCTCTCTAAGGGGCGGGAGCATGTCTCAAGAAAGATGGCAACGTCTTTGGCATGCCCCATATGCAGCGTTGTGATTGATTCATGAGGTCATTCTTTGCTTGACTGCTGGATGGCTAAGAGTGTTTGGGCTTTAAAGGAAGATGACTCAGTTCTGCCTCTATATGCGGATGAAACCACAAACCCCAAACTTTGGTTGTTCACGCTTAGTAGCACTCTTTCCCAAGAGCAATTTGTCGAGGTACTTGTCTATATGGTGGGATAGGCAAAAGGCTATTCATGAGGAGTTTCAATCACCACTATCAACTCACGTGTTTATAACAAGGTACCTTGATGAACTACGATCTCTGGTACCCCGAGAAGAAACAAGGAGTTAAGCACGACGACAAGCTAAGCTACCATGGATGCACCACCACAAGGACTTGCAAAAATTAATGTGGATGGGGTTGTGGACAAATTATCAAATATTAAAGTTATTACAGTAGTTGCTAGAGATGAACAAGGATTGTTTATGGGGGAATCGACGGTTGTCATCCAAAGTATGGTTGACCCTACAATGCTAAAGGCGTATGCATGTCATGAAGCACTTGCTATGGCTGAGGATCTGCATTTAACAAAAGTCTTTGTAGCATCGGACTATCAAGAAGTGGTAAAATAAATTAATCATGAAGGCTTTGCACTACAGGAATCAACTACTTTGCCGTCTGCCATAGCAGACGGCAAAGGACCAGCCCACGGATGACAAACACCTTTGTCGTCTGCTGGCCGACGGCCCCATTTTCAGCACTGAAAGTCACGGTAATGAGCTAATTTGTCGTCGGCAGAAGCACAACGGACAGAAAAGATGTTTGTCGTCAGTCTTCCTGGCCAAGCTGACGGCAAAGCTCCTGGACAACAACGTATAGCTGTTAGCCCAATTAGGTGGCTAACAACAGACTTTGTCGTCTGCCAGCTAACAGCAGACGTACACTTTCCTTTGTCGTCTGCTGGCTCACATCAGCTTACCTGTGGCACACGTCACTCCTGCTCTATCTTTGTCGTCTGCCTGTATTTTCTTTATTGTGTGCCAGTTGACGGTAGAATGACCAAATAGGTCAGACCTAGTGCTCCCAGGTTGCACAGCTTGCTACCATGTGGCACCGTTCTCGTCTGCCTACCGACGGCAAAGGCCTTTGCCGCCCGTTGGCCGACGACAAAGTGCCTGTATTGCCACTATTTTGTCTGTTTTCTGTTATTTCCCTGCATTTTCAAAACACATATATGATATATATAGTTTCAAGTTGAAGCATAGGCCAGTATCCAACATCATTGTGAAATATTGAACAAGATAACACATAGGATATTAAAAGATCCAATACATACATAGTTTCACAGAGTTCATCCATACGTAAAGAAAGAAAGAAAGAAAGAAAGAAAGAAGAAGAAGAAGAAGAAGAAGAAGAAGAAGAATAAGAAGAAGAAGAAGAAAAAGAAGAAAGAAAGAAAGAAAGAAGAATAAGAATAAGAAGGAGTAGAAGATGGAGAAAAAGAAAGAAGAGAAAAAGGAAGAATAACAATATATTTTCTTCTTCTCTATTTTTCTCATCTTTCTTCTTCTCTTCTATCTTTTTATCCTTTTCCTTCTCATTCTTCTTCTTTTATTCTTTCTTTTTCTTCTCTTTCTTCTTCTATTCTTTCTTTTTCTCCTCTTCCTTGTTTTTCTCCTTCTTATTCCTTATTTGTGTCATTTTAGAGCTAACTTAGGTAATTATGTCATTTTAGAGCTAACTAAGCTTATTATGTCATTTTGAAGGAAAATAAGGTAAGTATAGGTCATTATTGAGTTAACTTAGGCAATTGTGCTATTTTGAGCTAACTAAGCTTATTATGTAAATTTGGAGGAAAATAAGGTAAGTATAGGTCATTTTTGTGCTAACCTAGGTAATTATGCTATTTTTGAGCTAACTTAGGTAAGTATAGGTTATTTTAGAGCTAACTTGGCTTATTATGTCATTTTGGAGGAAAATAAGCTAAGTATATGACATTTATGAGCTAACCAAGGTTATTATGTCATAACAGACGTAACTAAGCTAATTATGTCATAAACAAACTAACTAAGCTAATTATGTCATTTTGGAGGATACTTAGCTATGTATGTCTTTTTTGGGGAAAATAAGCTAAGTATGCGGCATAATAGGGATAACTAGCATGTATGAAGCTAAGTATGCATTGTTAAGCAAAACACTAGAGAAAACTTACCGTCATCGTCATCATGGAGGTGAAGCATTGGGGTTGCTCTGGCCTTCACCTGGAGAAGGTTGCCCTAGAGAAGGGGTGTGCGATGTGGCTCGGGAGTTCTGCTGCACGAAAGATCATTTGCAATGTCTCATTAGCATGATGACACTCAAATGTTAAGACTAGTAATTCAAATGAAACTCACAGTTCCCTCCACAGTAATGACTAGCATCAGCGGAGCGGTCTGACCGGTCTTCTCGCACATAGACTGCACATTTGGTTTTGATGAGTGAGTCATATTAGTTAGTAATGAAACAAACATTACATGCATGATTCGGCTAATATGCAGAAGAAACTTACCACGAGGAGCTCGTACATGGCCCAGTGAGCCGCCTCATTCTGTGCCCTCTCATCCTCCAACAACCTAGCCGTCTTCTCCTCCGCCAGTAACTCCTTCTCCGCCGCCACCCGGTCCCTCTCCTATAGAAGCACCTAAGTGTCGCTCTCTCTTTCTGTGTGATGTCCCGATAATTAAGCTACAGTAACCTCACCCTAATGTGCCATGTAATCATGTTCTGTTAAAGACATTTTGCCACTTGATAAAAACCGAGTCAAATTCAAATTTCAAATAACATGTCAAATTCTTATTTCTTCAAACTGTCAAATAAAAATGTTGGTGGTGTTGCAAAGATTCATTAACTAATTATCATGAATAAACCAACATTGTTTGAATTACTAATATTTCCCTAACCTAA